TAGAAAGAACAAATAGAGCTATTCTAGATAAATCTAGGACTATTATAGCAGCAAATAACTTACCTAAGTTTCTATAAGATATTATTCTTAAAGAAACTACTAAGTTATTAAATTATACTGCTATAAGAAGACTAGAAAAGAACCCTATAGAGGCTTTTCTAGATTACTTTTATCCTAATAAAAATAATAAACTAGATTTATTTAAATTAAAGAAAATAGGCTTTAAGGTCTTAGTCTATAGACCTAAAGAAAGGCGTATCTAATTAGATAAATTAAATACCTATATAGAAGAAGGTATTTATTTATCTATAGAAGGGAGTAACATATATACTATATATATTCCTTTTAGGCCTTATAGGTCCTCTATAGTAAGGACCTTATATATTAAATTTATAGAAAGTACTATAAGAGAGGGAGAAAAAACTACTATTCCTTCTAGTACTTCTATAAATAAAGAAATTATTCCTTTTTTTAATATAGAGGTTAGAATACCTACTATATCTAAAGAAGAAAAAGATAAATATAAGGCCTATAATAATAATAATACTATAGAATATAACTATAGTATTAAAACTCTAGAGCCTACTACTTTAAAATAAGCCCTAGAAGGACCTAAAAAAGACCTCTAGTTAGAAGCTATATATAAAGAATTAGCTACTATTATCTAAAGAGGCACTTTAAAAGCAGTAGAACCTAATGAAGTATATAAGTCTTCTAGGGTACCTTTAACTGCTAAATAGGTCTTTAAGAAAAAATTTAATATTAATAGTAATATTAATAAATATAAGGCCTAATTATATGTTAGAGGTTTTTAGTAAAAATATAGGCTGGATTACTTTTAAACCTTTACTACAGGTAGTAACCTTACTACTTATAGGGTACTATTAGCTATAGCAGCAGCCTTAGATTAGGAAATCTAATAAATTAATATTATTAGAGCCTTTTTATATAGGGATTTAGAAGAAGAGGTATATATAGACCCTTCTAATATCCCTTTATCTAATTTCTTTAATAAATACCCTAATTTAAATACTATAAATTAGGAAAATAATAAGAATTAGATATTATTACTTTTAAAGGCTTTATATAGCCTTAAACAAGCTCCTAAGCAGTAGCAGTTAAAGATTAAATCTATATTAAAAGATATAGGTTTTATATCTTTAAAATCTAACAAAGCCACCTATTATAACTAGGATAAAAATAATCCTTATTATATTATTACCTATATTAATGATTTTCTTATACTTAATAAAGATATTAAGTATATAGAAAATATAAAGGGTAAAATCTCTAAATATATAGAGATTTAAGACCTAGGTGAAGTTTCTAAATTTCTAGGGCTTTATATAACAAGAGATAGATCTAGAAGATCTATAACTATCTCTTAAGCCTATTATATCTAATAACTTCTAGAAAGATTTAATCTACTAGAAGCAAAAGGAAATAATATACCTATATCTCTAGGTATATTAAGTAGCCTTCTAGGTAACAAATTAGAAGGTTATACTCCTTCTAAGGACCTATTAAAGGAATATTAACGACTTATAGGTTCCCTTATATACGCTATGTTTATAACTAGGCCTAATATAGCCTATAGCGTATCCTTTACCTCTTATTACCTCTATAACCTAATAGAATACCTACTTAAGCAAGGAAAAGGTATTTTAAAATATTTAAAAAAGACTATTAATTATAATATTACCTATTAAGGTAATATAGATATTAATAACTCTAATAATACCCTTAATCTAGTAGGATATACTAATTCTAACTAGGTAAGTTATAAAGAAACTAGAAAATCTACTTCTAGTTATATTTTTACCTTATTAGGGGGCCCTATTAGTTAGAAATCTAAAAAATAGTTAACTATATCCCTATCTACTACTAAGGCTGAATTTAATAGCCTATAGAAAGCTATTAGGGAGGCAGTCTAGCTAAAAGGCTTATTATCTAAAATAGGGTATAATATAACCCCTATAAATATTAAAATAGATAATAATATAGCCTTAAGCTTAGCCTATAATCCTAAATATTATTAGAGGACTAAGTATACTGCCTTATACTACTACTATACTTATTAAGAAGTTAAAAATAGTAATATAGAAGTAGAATATATTCCTACTTCTTCTATGCCTATAGATAGCTTAATAAAACCCCTTCTTAGGGTTAAATTTTAAGAATTTGTTAAGCTTATAGGCCTATTTAATAATAATAAGCCTATATAATATACCTATATATATAGTATATTTTTCCTATTATTATTAGGATTTTTTATAAATAAGTTATTATACTTATTAATATATACCCTACACGCTACTGCGTAACTCTAGGGTAACTTTTTTCACTTAACCACTTTTACTCTATAATAGAGCAAAAGAGGGAGTATTAGAAGTAAGAATATCTCTAAGTATTCTTATACTTCTTTATCTTATATTTCCTCTATTATAGAGGTTATATATATATAAGATATATATATTTATAATCTACTTACTTAGTAGATTAATATATATATTGATTACGTAAGCATGTCTGATTACGTAATTAACTAAAGATTAGAGAAGCTACTAGAATGTCTAAGATCTCTCTAGATCCTACCTTCTACCTCTGTTATTCCTATAAGGTTATTGTTTTAAGTTAGGGTTATTTACTTAAGGTTATTATATTACGTAACTAAGGGTTAATTTATAAGCAGCTTACGTAAGTATAGAATATTCTAGTAAGCTGTATAGGTCTATATAAGGGCTAGAATTCTTCCTGTTTCTAGTTTCTTTTCCTTCTCTCTCTAAGTAAGCAAATAGTTAATAATCTAACTACTATACTCTCTTTTAACTATATATCCTTATATCCTCTATTTATCTACCCTAGGTATAAGCATTTATATCTCCCTTTTATCCTATATTCTTGCTTCTATAGGATATATCTTTATATAAGAGATATACTCTCTTATATTCTCCTAAGCTAGAATTCTCTATCTAAGAGACTAGCTCACCTGTTGTGCTAACAGTTAACTATATGTATTAATAGGTAAGTAATAAATAATAGGGGTAAATACTAGTTCTAAATTATACATAAAGAAGGAAAACTATTGTAGGATTACGCAGCAAATTCACCACGTAATATCCCTGTGGATCCGGTAGATCCACAGCGAATTAGCCGTAGTTATTCCGACCGATCGGCGTTAATCCATATCGCCGATATCCAGGCGATAGTCAACATCGCAACAAATAGGCTCTTCCATTCCGGTCCTTCAAGTCTTTATCAAGGAAAAGACGTCCACGCTGGGATACGATAAGAACAGCGACCAGAACTTTGACGATGTTGAGCTCAATTCATATCATAGTACGATCAAGCCTGTCGTCGTTGCCGGCGCTCTTAAAAAGCAAAGAACCGAGAGTGGTAGGGCAACATATACCAAGAAGCTAGAACTAGGGGGTATAGTGCAGGGGATGGAACGACAACCGGAAGTTTCATTGTGAGCAAAGCGTGCTGACCTCGAAAGTCAGGCTTTGCACAGCACAGAGGCTGTGGCAAACAGCCATGAGAAGCTAACGTATGACGGTAACCCACACCTGACTGCTGAGTTGAAACTGACTTCGATTAGGGACGAGCGCGACTTCTGTGGCCGCGCTCTATGACGAGAAATCCGAAGAAGCGCTATCAACACACAGTAGTGCCAATGATCTTGGGGTGAAGGACTCGTCTTGTTGGGCGAGGATTCGGGTCACACCCCCTAATCAAGGTTTTTGGGCCTTCTCTGCGACCCATCTAAGGCCATCTAGACGTTGTTTGGTGCTACTGGGAAAGGATTGGCGGGGGTGAGGCGATAATATGGGTTGTCAAAAACATACGTCTTGGGACTGGATGGCGTCACCAACTTCTTCGATATCCAGAATGTGATTTCCAGCAGGCATTTACAATTGAATGAGAACGGAAGGCATCTCGAGCCTATAATGACGTACTCTGGCACACTCAGCTGAGCGACTTTCTCTCTCGTGTTGTGTTCCATTGTCCTGGGGCCAAAGTTGTGAAAATGAGCGTACTGATAATACGATTGTGCTAAGTTTTCGGGGAAAGCTTCAATGCAAGACTATCAAGAAACAGTAAGCGGCTTGCACTGAGACTTTGTATGCAATCCGTGGACAAAGTTGCAGAAAACTACGCGGCCTTGCGGATCTGTCTCCAAACCCGGTTGCCGAGGGGGTAAGAGGAATTGTGTTCCTCACTTGGGAAGAGCCAACAGTTCCATCTATCCCGCAAATAAAAAGGAGGAATGGTTGCTCCAAGTATTGGTGTATGAGGCACGCAAGCTGTTGTCAGCCACATCTGCAACTAGTACTTCACCTTAGGCGTATTGGACCAGGCGATACAGGAGTAATTAGATGCTACAATACTTGGGACGTTGATATACAGTCCAAGGCACACCTGGAGTACACCCCCTGGGTTTCGTTATGCGCAGCTCTGATAACCTGAAAACGTTGAGCAGACCTTGACGTTAGTTGTCGTGGATTGTTTGCAACGGAGCTGGATGCACCTCCGGAATCTGCCCAGCCATGTTCCTAGCCTTTTGACTGCGATTAGTCTCTGTGAACACAGCATATTGTTATGGTAGACAGTCTTTGACTCTGCTGTCTTTGACCCAGATCGTTTTCCCTTTGCTTCCAAGTACAAAATCCTTTGCCAGTGGAACATGGATAGTACTAAAGGAGGGAATCAGCTTAGCCAGCGTGCCTTGGAACATGCCGTCTTACACAAAGACGGATTGTGACAACATTATCTTGTTCTACTTGCCGGATCATTTGCAGTGAAGAAAGGCCTGTTCTAGATCAGGCATTTCGGTCAAAGACACAATTACCCATGATCCGAGTCAACCGGTAGATATAATGTGCTTGGTCAGCCCAGCTTCGAAACACTTTTCGGCATCACTCCAGCTCACAGCCAACAGAAGCAACATACTACACCTCTCCAATACATCTCTCCGATCGCATCATCTAGCTTACTACTCACATCAAGACCACCTCCGTCCAAGACCCAGGCCTGCGTTCGTCATGTGCAACTTCATTCTCAACGTCGTCAAGTGCCGCCAGTGCGGCCGCCTCATCAGCCAGCATCAGTCCGACTTCGTCTACTGCCCCCCCTACCGCAGCGGCATCCGCTGCCAGGTCATCGAGCGTGGCCGCAACACGCAGCTCATCTGCTGCTCCAGCTGCCAGAACGCCTACTAGCTGGCTCTGGCCATCAGCGGCCAGCAGCGTGAAGATGGCAGGCTTCACGTCCGACCCCGAGGGCGATTTCTCGACGACTCGAGATTCGAGATTGTAATGGGTAACTTGGTGAGAAGCTCCGTTCGCTAGTGTCTCTTTTTGTCTCTTTTTGTCCGTGTATATATCAGGGTGCTTGATGGCTCTTTGGGGGGTATGAGCGGCTTGACATCATTCTAATGCATACATACCAATTGGCGCTGGCGCCGCCACAGAACCAGTTTGAAGTTCTCCACAGCACGAATGTTTTCTTCAGAGTGAAACTTATCGTAGGTAGCTCAAAAGCCCCGTGCCACGAGTACCCCGCGTAGACGGTCGGCTGGCCAGGAGCTACCGTCCCGGTACGGGTTGACGAGGGTTGAGGGGGAGATGATGATCTTGGCGCCGAGATCGAGGAAGAGAGAGAACTCGATGCGGAGGTAGGTGGTGTGCGTATGGGCGATCTCGGGCAGGCCGCTTCTCGCCAGGCACGGTCAGACAATGGTCAACAGGGTAGAGCGGCTCAGCGGCTCACTTGAGCGTCACAAGACACGTGTGGTCGATCAGCCCTGTTAATGATGGTGTCGTTGACGGTGTTTCTGGCCGGCTGTTAGGACCGGCCAGGGAACTGAAGAGATGGAAGACGGTGGTGAAGACAACAACTCGCGGCCGTCGTTGTGTCCGAACTCGATGGCCATCAAGTCTCCAGGCTTGACCTAGTCGACGATGCACTGGAAGCGGTAATAGTGCAGATACTCGCCCCAGCCCTGGGTGCCGTCGTGCCCGCCGTCCGGGGTCATTGGCAGAATCCAACGCTCGATTAGACTGACTAGATGAACGCGAGTATCCCGTCGACCAAAATGCGGACAAGCAGAAAACCCATGGAGTTCTGCTTGCTAGCCAATTCGTTAGCAGCAGTGTGGGCTACCGGGGGATCTCGGGCGAAAAGGCGCCGAACCTAAAGTCTGGAAACAGTCGGTCGACGATTCCACCGAGGGGCCCGGGCCAAGGGGGGCACAAAGAGCTCTCACAGGGGAAGAGGCCGGCGAAGGGAGCGTCTGATCCGGGGTCAAGAAGCTCGTCGGAATGGTGAGGGTCCCGAGACGGACTTGATGGACGGGCTTTCATCGCGGATCATTCATCATCAATAGTGGCTTGGGGCTTATGCTGACTAGGCATATATGCCAAGCGGTTCGACAATGCCTCGATGACGTCCGGATTCGGGGGCCCCATGGCGACTGAAACCCTGAACCCAATGGGGTGTTTTGACACCAACCACCACCGACGACAACAAAATCGGACTCGGGAGCGCAAATGGCGTATTCGGATTGTGAGAAGGAGTGTGGCAGCGTCTGGGCCAGCCGTCCGTCTGAAGACTGGGGATGCAGGATAGCAAGTGCATGAAGAACAGGAGGCGTGTTCGTAATCGATGAATAGCCACGAAACCAGCTCGAAGACGCCACACACGTACGCACAAACACCCCAGACAAGCATGCGGCACGGACTCCCTTCCGGGCAATGAGCTTCGTGCTTGGACCCCCGGGACCTCGGACTCGTTCCTGGAGGTGGGGGCTGCTGGGACGGCGGGACGATGGCCTGGTACTCTGGCCGTGGCATGACCGGCTCGAAAACCTTGTCGTCTCGAACGCGGGAGGGGGGATCTACCTAGACTTGTCGCGATTACCTGCCGACCTGCCGAGATGGAATAACTGGCCGCGAAGGCAGATCCCGGAGGAGAGAGGGGACGATTCGAGAACAGACTGGCCTAGATACATGATATACGTGAACTACCTAGTATTTTAATAGATGCAGTCGGTCGTCACCGAGGTTGTGTCAGTGTTCCAATTGCCATCAGATGCCGGAAGATGATTCGGCGTACTCGTATAATTCTCTAGCGGGACGGCCAAGGATTGACCCTCCTCTGTGGGAACAGCTTTGCCATATTTGGGGCCCCGTATGTGTACCGGCTAGACGTTATTGCCCCCCGTCGAGTTTACATGCAGCATTTACAATCACTTGGGCGGTATGGCGGCATTGAAGAGTTTACATAGCCACGGCGTGAGAGCTACCCTAGCGACCATGCAGCGTCCAAGAGAGAGAGAGAGGGAGGGAGCCAGTTGCGATGCGACGTCCAATCAAGTCAGGGAACTGGCGAACCCTGTCAGGAAAGCATCTCCTCTGACACGCAAACATGACAAAAGGCAGAGAGGCTGAACCGCCGGGGTAGTGACAAGAGAGTTCGTTTTGGCCGAGCAAGTTGGGTAGATGATAGTTTAGATGCCTCGGGAGAGCCTCAAGCACATGCCTCCCCCATGCATGCATGCATCCATCCATCCATCCATCCGACGTGCTTCTGATCTGCAAGACGCTGCATGTCGCAGGGAGCTGAATGCTCGTCATTTGAGGGTCCCATCGTTGCACAGAGCCGACAGGGGGAAGCCGGATACGCTGACACGGGTACGCGCGGAGACAGCCGTGTGGTTTCTTGGGGAGTCTTATTTTTTTTCAAGTTCCATCAAAGGGATCGAACGTGTGTGTGTCTTGGACCCCTTTTTTCTTCTTTGTCTCGTTTTCCTTCTTGTTTCTTCTCTTCGTTCTTATCGCCATTTTTGTTTCACGACGCAGGATGAGGAAATGTTAAGTAGCGGCCATTTCCCCCCTTCTCAACTTTCCACTCCCGCTTCGCCATCGATTTACAAACCATCTACGCAGTCTAAATACCATCCAACTTTGCACACACACACGACTCGGTTGCCTTTCCCGACTGATTGGTTGCTCTGACGTCACTTGTGTCTTGTAAATTACGATTTTACTGGAGCGGCGAGCAGCACCGACCGGGAAACCCCCATTTCGCAGATTCATATCGCTAGGCGCGCCTCCGTCCTTCGACCCCCTCCTCCTCCTCCCCTCCGCCTCCGTCCTTGGTATCTATCTCTATCCTGTCCGGTCAAACAACAGCTACGCTCCCCGTTCTCCGAACCCGCCAAGGAAACCGCGACGCTAGGGATACATCTTGATGGCCACCGGCATCTCGCGCTGAACCCCAGCAATGGCCCTCCCCCAAGCCTCGCCCCTGTCTGCCGAGCAGATCAAGGCGCTCTTCAACATCCTCACCCACTTCGAGACCTACCACGAGATCGAGAAGTTCAAGAGGCCCGAGACCATCGCAAACTATGGCTACCCCTTCATCCAGGGCTGCTCCGGCTCCTACGCCCCCGAGTGCTCCGCGCCCCTGCTGCAAACCATCTTCACCAGGTTCATACTGAAGCTGCCCGGCGTCCGCACCTTCGCCCCCGACTTCTGGAGCGTCCGCGTCCAGGGCATCATCACCAGCTTCGCCGAGGCGGGTCTGTCCGAGGCCTACGAAAAGGGCGCCCTGGGCATTAGGAAGACCCTGGCCACCGCCTCCTCCGCCGTCATCGAGACCGTCGCCCGCGGCGCCATTGGCGGCGCCCCCTACAGCGACCCGGCCTCCCGCCCCGCCGAGTACGACCTCGCCAGCGCCCCCGACCTGGCCCGCGCCTGGGACGACGCCATGCACGACCTTGTCTACGGGGACCTCTGCGACGGCCTTCTCGACCACCTGGCCAAGTCCGACGACTTTGACTCTCATTCCCCCATGACGCGCGCCGCCAACGAGTACATCATTCTCCAGTAGGTTCCCCCCGCAATGGCCCGCCCCGTCGGAATACGCCCTTGTGTGCTAAACACCCCCGGTCCAGCTTGTCGAGCCTGGTCCATCAGGTCCTGATCGTCTCCCCCGAGGGACAGTACCTGGTCAAGCTCCTGGAGCAGGTCCACAAGATGGTGCCCTACAACATGGTCCGCCAGACCCTCAAGGTCGGCAACGCCGCCACCATGATCGCCGGCATGATGAAGATCTTCCTGGCCAAGATCAGCGTCGGCTCCGTCTCCAACTGGTTCGGCATCACCAAGGACGCCGCCGATGGAATGAACCTTATGCAGAGGTAAGTCACCTTTCAACACCCACACTCACACACACACACACACACACACACACACACACACACACACACACACCAATCGGGTTTCAACGAGTAAGCCGACCATACGCAGGGGCGGTCTTTTCAGTAATAAGAGAGAAGCTATTGAGTGTCGACTCTTAATCCGCTTGACCTGGAGGGCTGTGGCACGTTCACACCACACTCACACACACACACACACACACACACACACACACACACACACACACACACCCAGTGGCTCACACCGGTCTGCAACAGAATCATTTCCGTCATTCTTGGCTGGGACTGCGCAGAGTTCAAGAAGACCATCGACAGGATATCAAAGGCCAAGAACAGGCCGAGCAAGGGCGCCCTCGACGCCATCCGCGCGCACGTCGACTCGCCCGGCGAGGACCGCGAGGCCGCCCGCGCCGAGAGCGTGCGCCGCGGCAGGTCCATCGTCGCCGTCATCCTCGAGACCGCGGACCCGGTCCTCCTAGCCGACATGAGCGACGACGAGCACGGGCTGTGCCTCGAGTACTACGCGGCGCTCCTCGGCATGCGCGACCGCGAGGTCATCATCGGCACCCTCTGCAAGCAGAGCCCCGACCTCCTCACCCAGCTCGTCCGCGAGGCCGTCGCCGGCTTCGACCCCATCATCCGCGCCGTCCACAACAGGGTCGACCTCTCGGACCACCTCAGGGACGCCCAGACCTTCCTCGACCAGCTCATCGCCACCAGCAAGCCGAGGAAGGGCAGTTCCAAGGACGACCCCGAGGTCATGCCCACCGTGGAGGACTACGTCCAGCTCTGCAAGAAGAACAGGCACCTCCTGTACAAGTGGCTGCACGCCGTCTGCAAGAACTGCCCCGAGGTCGCGGACCAGTTCAGGGTCTGGTCAAAGAATTCGCTGGCCGCCTTCCACAAGACCAACAGGGGCGGCGAGGGCATCGAGGACCAGCTGACCGGCATCTTCTGCCGCGTCCCCGACGCCACGAAGGAGGCCTTGCTGCCCATCATCGACGCCCAGGCCGCCTACCTGCGCGAGCTGGACGAGCTGTCGCTGGCCCGCATGCAGGCCATCCTCAACGGCGGCTCGTCCAGCATGGCCGGGCCGGGCGTCTACCTCGCCCAGTGGCAGTCCCTGATGGACGAAACCCTCATCACGCCCGCGAGCCCCATTGGCCCCGTTCGCCAGGCCAGGGACGTCAAGGCGCCGCCGCCGCCACCACCAAAGGGCAAGCGCGCGTCCGCGTCCAGCAACGCGAGCGAGGTCGCCGCCGCCGTCGGCAACATGAGCATCTCCTCGTTTCCCGAGCCTCCGAACGTGCAGCCCGTCATCGAGGCTCTGGCGCCCATGTTCGAGAAGAAGCTCCTCTTGTTATCGAGGGCCAACGGCGCTGCGGCCAACGGTTCCGGAGACCAAAACGGTGTGAAGTTTTGATTATGACCCCCCTTTCTCCCTCTCTCTCTCTCTTTCTCTCTTTCTCTCTTTCTCTCTCTCTCTTTCTCTTTCTCTCTTATTGGACCGCTATCAAGGGCGTATGCAGCGTTGACATCTTCGAAATGATCATTTTGTGGGTTCTTGGGGCAACAGATTAGGGACAAGGTTACACACTATGGGCGGGGAGCATGAATGCGCATGATTGCATGAGGACACGGCTTTATTTTCATCTTTATTTTTCTTTCTTCACGCGCTTCGACACACCCAGTCTGGCGTCTTGGGGATTTGGCTTTTGGCATGATGTGGGCGGCAGACGATCCGAGTATAGACACTGGAAAAAAGAACCGTCAGAACATGATGACCGCGTCGAAATTGGAGTGCCCGTTCATGACTTTGCGGTGAGGATATAGGGTCTTCGAGTAATGATCTAAAAGCCGACGAGCCATGGGCCAAGAGAGCAATGACAAGGGTGCACCCGAAGCAGGTTCCGGTTGAACCAACGCAGGGAGCTGGGTGGAACGACGGCGGTCAGCTCGGGAATCAACCCTGTCCCCCGTCTATCCTTCTGGCGAGTTGATGATAGAAAAAGATACAAGACTTTCCTGTGGCTTTTAATATGTGGTCTAGAGCGAGCACCAGGCCGCAACGGCATCGGCGTGGACCTGATCGGTTCCAACCAAGTCGCCAATAACAAAGGCCAATTAATCATGGACATCAATAGAGCTCTCTCATCCCAATATTAATTAAAATCTACTTCCATCTAGCAAATCATCTAATTTTCTTGTCTCCAGTTTCCGCAGTTCTCATCCCCAACGGATTCGACGGGGTACAAAATGCAACACGGCGTCTGCATGCTTTTCTACCTCTCTCCAAGCCTGTCGACATAAACATTCCTATGCTTCGCTTGCGGTCCGCTTTCTGCGTCTGAACCGGCCCAGAACCTTTGAGCACTGCTTCGTGACCGTTGAAATCCCAAATGTCCACCCCTTGATCCGGACGGTGTAGACAAAGAAGTAGACGAGAGCCCAGTTGGCGACGGCAAAGCCAATCAATATGCCGAACGAGGGCCACTTGTCGGTGGAGTGGACGTTGAGCGTTCGCATGTACTCGCCGCCGTCGCTGTATGGGCAGTAGCCGCAGTTGGACGTCGCCTCGGGGTTCTCCAAGTACCCTGCCCTGGCGACCTCGTTGACGAATCGCTCAGCGTACTGTCCGCAGGTCGACCCAGGCGGCGGGTTGAACCGCGCAAGCTCCACGGAGCTACAATGCACTGCCTCTGGCGGGAGGACCGCGGATAGGACACCGCGGGCGAACCAGGTTGACGGGTTTATGTAGTACATCCAGTACTTCCAGAAGACCGGCGTTGAGTCGTACGGAACCAGAATACCGTTGAAGATAGCTACCATAACGAAGAAGAAGGGAAGAATCTGCCAGAAATGAATCAGTTACTAATTCTTAGCACTCATTACAGCTGAGCACTTACGTTTGAGATCTTGGAGTAGGAAGGCCCAAAGGCCGAGATCCACTGTCCCCAGCTCGATTGGAAGAGGGACCAGACAAGGACCATCAAGTAGCTATAGCCCGCGGCGGTCATCGGGTACCCCACAGGAAAGAACCACAAGAGCCAGTAAATGGTGGCAGACACTATGGCCATGGGTATCTCGCAGACCACGTTGGCAGTGCAAAAGGCAACCCATCCATACGTGCGACTTGGCAGCTCTCTGCCTTCCCAGAGATCCCGGTTCTGGAAGAACTTCAACACAACGGAGTTGACCACTGTCGGTGGGATAAAGCTATCGTTGTATCAGCAAGGAGGTTTTCAATGACCGCAAGGTCTTGTATTTAGGTGGACTCACAAGATGAGGATGATGGCGCTGAACATGCGATTCTGCGTGCTTGCGATGTCACTTCCGAGCATCCAAAACGTCTGTTGCTCGAGTCAGCTTTCATATTGCTCGACAAGATCCGAAGGAGGCAACCCTTACAAACCCGTTGAAGATGCCGATAATTGCGTGGACAAATACCCTGCTGTACAAGTATTGGGGTTCACGCCAGTGCTGGATGAACATTCTCTTCGTGAGCAGTAGGGATTGGTATGCGGTAGACGCCGCAAAGTCCGTCTGATCCGCCAAACTGGTCGTGGGCGGGCGTCTCTCGGCAGTGATCTGGTCAATCTCTGCGACAATGGCCTTGTGCTCGTCAGACCTGAGCCACTCATCGCCCCAGTCAATACGTTTTCCGTCAGAGGATGCTGAGGCTGTCTCCAGGATAAACTCGGCCACGTTGCGGCTCGGTGGACAAGGGAAACCCCTTTGGGCAAAGTAGTCGACGACAACGGAACCGTTTGTGCCAACCGGGCCAAAGTAAAAGGTCCTTCCGCCCCTGTTGAGACCGAGAATCATATCAAATTGCTCGATAAGGTCAGAGGAAGGCTGGTGGATAGTGCAGATGATTGCCTGGCCTGCGTCGCATAGTTTTCGAAGGAATCTGACAATGGAAAACGCAGACTGGCTGTCAAGGCCACTCGTTGGTTCGTCCAAGAAGAGGAGGAGCTTAGGCTTAGCGGCTGATAGGTCGTAAGTCAGTCTATGAAGTCATCTCGAATGTTATGTAAGTGGCTGGAGAACTCACCGAGCTCAACTCCGATGGTGACTCGCTTCCGTTGTTCGACTGTCAAAGAAGAGATAATAGCGTGCTGTAAGTCGCTCAGCTCGAGCAAATGGATGATTCTGTCCACATAGGCAATCTTCTCCTTGCGTGGAATCGCACCCTCTTGTCGTAGCAATGCAGAGAATTCCAGTGCTTCTCGGATCGTTGCAGTCCCCTCATGAATGTCCCCCTGCTCACAGAAGCCAGTACTCCTCTGAAACTCGGGACCCAGGCTGGCTCCGTTGACCAACATCTCACCAGACACCACGCCGAAGTTCCGATTCTGTCTCTGGGCAATAGTGTTGAGCAGAGTCGTCTTGCCAGCACCAGAACTACCCATGAGCGCAATCATTTTTCCAGGTTTGGCGTACCCACATACTCTGTTAAGCAGCTGTCGCTCTCCGCTGCCATAAGGAACCGTGTAGTTAATGTCCTTAAACGTGAAGACACTCTGGCCGTCCCCAATAGGCTCAAAGGTTTCTTCAGCTGCTCCGGCCTTGTCAGACTCTTCTTTTTTGGTTCCTCCGTTTTTGGCGAATATCAGAGACTGGGCTCCAGTGCTCTTAAACTTGACCGTCTCAACAGCCAAAACAGTCACACCTAGGTAAAACACGGTAAAGGCAACTACGATTCCAAAGTTGCGCCACAGGTTCGCCCTCGAGCTGAGGAACTGTTAGCCATATGTGGTGCAGGAAAAGACGGCGGCAAACATACTATTGGTACGAGGCCTCCAAATAAGCTGGACCGCTGACAGTTGTGTTGCCAAGTGTTGATCCAGGAAGAGAGCAGCCCTGGTAGCTGGGATCCGAGCCAGGTCCACGCGGCACCAATTGAGACTCGCTGCACTGTAACTCTCGTGCGAAGAACTCGTTCGTTTCTAGCGCTTCGAAACCATAGGCGACGGGATTGATATAGTAGATCCAGCCAAACCATATCGAGTCGCTGAGAAGAGCGGGTTTGGGAATGACATATCCCGTCAGGATGAACATGATGTTCAAAACTACACAATCAGCAGTCCATTCAAAGGTTTCCCAAAGGGCGAATTATTAACAACGTACCGACACCTACAAGGCGAACTGAATCATCTACTGTAGATGAAATTGACGAAAACATCCGGTACATAGTTGTGAGGCAGAAGGTTGTCGTATACACGAACAGTGTATAGATCCAAAACTTGGCTGCGTCAACATCGAACCGACCTAGGAAGTAAGCGGGCACGCAGAATAAAACAGTCAAGATTAGGATCAGCGGGAAGTCCAAGAGCATCCTGGCAATCACCACTGCAGATGGTCTGTAGAAGGCGAATACTCGTTGTCTCTCGATTGTCGCACGCCCGGATATTGCAGGAACAAGTTCCGCAAACTGAAGCCATCCGATGAAGGCGATAGAGAAGAATACAATACCACCGCGCGCGAAGACTGAGGATGTATCTTGGCCGGAGTTGTAGAATAGTGACGAGACGATGAGACTGTTGGCGACAGTGATGACTAGTTTCGTGTAGAAGGAGCCGAGGTCGCCCCAGAAGAGCCAGGCTTGACGCTTGGTGCAGGCGGCGACCTGCCTCAGGAATGATACGGTGTAGACAGAATCGCCAATGACGGTTTTGCTCTTGGCTACATCGGATGTTAGGAGTCGACGCAAGTGAACAGGTGAGGCAGTTCAAACTCACAATCCTTCACCGTGGCCTCGAAAACACGGTGCTTGTCGTTGTTTGCCGACCTACTTTCACGATCATAGTCCTCGATATCTTCAATTATGCGCTGGTAGTGCTCGCTTTTGAGGAAGGCCTTCTCGAGCTCCTCGGCCGTTTTGGGAGCTGTGTCCTCTCGGCCAGGCTGAAAGCGTCGCGCGTTCTCGTCGGCAATAGAGGTCAGGAAGTCGGCGGTGGTCCTATGCAACGTCCATGTCAGTTACAGCAAGCAAGCCAAGATCGAGGCATGACTTACTGTCGTGGGGGACACAAATAGCCCAAGTCTTGGAAATATTTCTTCGCTTCGTCGGCTGGTCCTTGGAAAAGCATGCGGCCATCGTCTATCACGAGGACCTTGTCCATCAACTCGTAAATCGATTCTCCCGCTTGATACAGCGTAACAAGCGTAGTGCGGCCGCTGACATCGGTGTACACACGAAGCGATTTGGCAAAGCTCAGGGCTGTGCTGGCATCGAGTCCCCGAGTTGAGTTGTCCCAGCAAACAACGGATGCTCTTGTGGCCAGTGTCTCTGCCAGACTTACACGTTTCCGTTCTCCTCCGGAAACACCTGTCCAGGATCAGCTCCACACTTCGTTCCCAGTGATGACGGGGCACCTACCTCTGATGCTTTCGTCTCCGACCAACGTGTTCATCGTGTGCTCGATTCCAAACATTTGAAGCAGAGAGTCTAGGATGGGCGGAATAGTCCACTGTTCCCGCTTCCGGGTTTTGGTCTTCAGGGCAAACCATAACGTTTGCCATACCGTAAGGGAGGGGAAATGGCGGTCATCTTCTTCGCAGTAGACGACCTCGCCTCTGAAGCGTTGCAATTGGTCGTCGGCTGGGATGACACCGTAGTGAACGTCGCCTTCAACCTTGGCATACTCATCCCGTTGGTTTGCAATAGCCTTGAGGAAGGTCGAACAGCCTGAACCCGGCCGACCCAACACCAGCATGATCTCGCCATGGCGTACCGTCCCCGTCATGTTCTTGATGAGGTCGACGGTAGGGTCCTTGTGGAGCTTGAGTTTGGGGAAGATGCTCGTGACGAAATGGTAGAAGTCGGGTCCGAAGGTATTCAGCAAATCCCGGGGAAATGTGACGACTTGTTTGGTCGATGATTCGACGCCCTTGACCGTCAGGTTCTTGAATGACACACCGAGACGTTTCGCCGGACCGCCGCTCGGGGTGCGCATGTCCATGATCCCCCTTCTGAGGAAGTCGGGCAGGTCGAATGAGTTGTCGGCAGACAAGCTGGGGGCAACGGTAGAATCGCTCTCGCCGCCGGCATCGCCATTATGCTTTTGAGACGGTCCCTGGTTGTACGCGTTGGAGTGCTGCCTCTGGATCGTACTAAGCTCCTTCTCTAGGCCATGGAACTCCTCAAGTGCAGCGTGGACTGAAATGTCGCCGGCCGCATTCTCACCCCATCGACCATCTGATTCCGGCACCATTGTTCCGGCCATGGCGCTTTTGCTGAGGCCGAAAAGCGAAGGGAGGTCGGCTGTTTTCCCCCTCCACTATTTTGTTATGGATATATTGGAGATGGCGTGTTGTTCGGTAGAGCCTATGGAAAGAAGCAACGCAACGGTGCAGGAAGCAGCGAGCTTGAAGGGCGGGCAGGCAGGAAGGAGAGACACGCGGTTCGCGAATACCGGCAGGTGCGCAATGTGGAGTGCGCAGGATCAGGTCGGTCCCCTTCTCTTTCCTAAATCGCAAAAATTAAACGAACGCTGAAGAAAGGAAAAGAAAAAGGAAAAAAACTCAACCTCGAGGAAACAGCGTCTAATTATTACTATGTCGAGTCGTTCCAAGCTAAGATGTCCGTCTGTCTGTCTACCTAGGTACCTAAGCTGGCTCCACTTGGCTTACATGCGGTTAACAGTTGACGTTATCGTCCAGTAGGGTACTAGTCCTCGGCATGCACTCCACGGCGATGCTTCGTAATTCGCCCCGGGCCGTCTCACCTTCCACCTCGCCCCTAAGGGGGTGGAGAGATTGTTGGTTTGCCTTTTGAGTTCCGGTAGGGCTTTCAAGCTTGTGGAGCCGATGCAATCTCGAATTTCCGTGGGAGGGATGTATGACCACCCCAAGTCAGAAACTGCATGGGACCAACGAACCGCCTCCGAAAAGCCCTCATGCTCGGATTTATGTGCGTAAACTCCACGCTGGCTGGAGTGATGACATACAGCCCCCGGCCATTCTTGTCGGCCAGCAGAGCCCGCATGTGCACCGCATCTGAGACAAGCGCCATTATCAATCCGGTTAGGGCCAAGCTTCTTCCCGCTCACGAGCAAAGCGGAATCCAAATTCCTCGGAGGCATTTGAGCCAGTCCGCCGCATCTCTAGCGTGGCAATGCGTCGTCAGTGGCGAGCCCGCTTCCAGCGTCGATACCCGGCCTGACTAGACTTTATGAAGCACGAAAAGGACTTGAGCATACGGGCGTCTTCGCTGACTCGAGGGGATTCTACGTTCCATTCACCATCTTCAACCTATGGACTGGATGGTAGTCCGACGCAAAGACCCGGCGTTTGCTAGTGTATTGTAGCACTGTCCCTGCTATTCCCGTGGCCGGTACCTGGGTCTTTTCTTGTTAACCTTATTGATAGATGCCGAATGGTAGTTGCCCAATAGCTCTCCTCGACGAAACAAATGAAGTGTTTCCTAGGATATGAGGTCCTTCGATAAGAAACCTAATTTGCCGTTCAAAGTTGAAGTTCCTGATCCGCCAGGCGTTGCAACGGATCGGTGCGTGCTGCAATGGGAATTCATGTCTCAGGGCGGCACGATATCACTCATGCACCTGACGGGACGTGACATGCGCAGCTCCGTACCTGTTTTCCCGCCAAGGTCCGGCCAAGAGCATGCGCATGCTTCCCACCGTACCAACAACTCCTGCTGGCGGTGTGTAGTTGAACCTGTCCTGGACTGGCCTGGCCTGGCCTGCTTTGTCAGTTAACCCGGACTTTTTTACACATGGCTGTACAACGGAATATGTATCGCGGGCTCACAGGGACCTGGATTGGCTTTACGCTTTACCATTCTGGTATCCCGGCCTCCTATTGGTATTGACTGGCGGGACGCCTACCTACAAGGTTCCCCCCTCTCTTGATCAGGAGCCTATCTTTCCTATTTCAGGTCACAGATGCGTTGGTAGTTCTGCAGCTTAGACAGTGATACGCAGCAGCTCTTCGCTATGTGTGGCTAGCCATAGACACCACCTACCAAATGCCAAGTCCGCTTGAAGACGTGCTTACAGTCAATCAACTATAGGTACTTCCCGAGTCTGGATTTAGCCCACGGTCAACATGCTAAACTCCGCCTGAACGGGCCCGTTTTCTCGGCGCAAAGCCATTGCTCCGGCCCGCCTGGCCTGTCAAGAGGGCCCAGACACCGCGCAACGCCAAGGTTGTCAGATGGTTCATTCATGGTGGCTCATATTGACTTAACTCGGCTATATTCCCACACCTTGTTGTAGAGACTGATGAATTGTTTGATGAAACGGGCTTGACCTGCAAGTAAACCACTCTACAGCACTGGGCACAACAAGCCGGCTGACTCGAAACTTCTCAGATAAAGGCGAGTTGGAAATACTAGACGATGGATTGACCCCAGTCACTATTACATTTGACTCAGAACACGCCTTAGTCATATGGTCTCTCGGACAGGTTCATCTCGAGGAGCTCTTCCACGTCCTTCGGCACCTCAAATTCCTTCTCCGCTGGGAGCAGTCCCAGATCGATCAGTTCTCCGTCACCGACGCCGGGCCGCTCTTCCAAAACCCTCTTCAGCTCCCTGGCACGCGCCGTGACATCCTCGATGCCAACAATCATGGTGGCGACCCAATCTCGACAGATATCGGGGGGGGGTGCCGATCTGTATGCTGCGGCGCTGCAGTCTCCCTAGGCGCACGTCCCGCTCAGGGTCCCATTGAATCCTGACTCCGCGACCGTCCCTGCTCTCGTTTCCACGACGAGCTACAACACCCTTTCGAAGCAAATCGACAAAGTCGCCGTGCCTCATCTTGAGCGCCAAGATACGTTCCCGACCCGGATCCTTGAACGAGTACCCCGCGCGATACATCATCCAGGCCCAGCTTGGCTTGATCCATGTCATCCGGGTGACTTTGAAGCCCGGCGACGCGTCGAGCCTCTGGGCCTCCACGGCTGCTGCGGCGATGGCCGAATTATAGGCCTGGTAAACCGTAATGCTTTCCTCGTCGAACCGTGCTCTGATTTGGCGGAAAGGTGTGGGTGGTCTGTGGCCTTCGTTGTCGTTTTGGCCCGATGCACTGGTAGACATATTGAATCCTTGGTGAGGTTCGTGAGGGATGCAGCGAAGCAGGCGCGTCCATGCCTGAGACTGGCATGGCATGGATCTTTTATGAAAACTGAGTGGTGGCGCAGCGCGGAGCGGACATATAGATATCTCTTCATGACCGGCTCACAAGCCCCCAGCCACGACGCCACGAAGCCACCGCGGCAACGGAGGAGTCACGCCGACCTCCGCTATGCAATTCCAATTATGTAGTCGCATTAAGTCCGAAATAAGGCGGCCTCGCGGCCGTCCCGCTGGGTGGTTTCACTTGCCCGAGTCAACGCTCTGTTGCACACGCTTGTCAACAGTCTCTGGAGGCATTGAATCAATCTTGCTGCCAGAATTTTCGACGAAAACCCGGGTGACCGTCTCGAGCTGAATGCCTTCGAGGTCACACATGTCCCAGTCTCGCAGTGACCTTTGGCTCTCGCAGCGATCATGGCGGCCCTCTGAGGCGGGTTCCGGATGGCACGACGATTTCTGGAAGATGCCTACCCGTCCGTGAGTCTGGGGGTCCTCCGGTGGCCCGCCGCGGATCCACACTCGGTAGCCATACTGCTGGCCCATCGGGGTAAACTTGAACGCTTCGAGTCCTACGTTTTGCTCGCCAACGGGCGCGACAAAGAGGATGCGGCCTCGTGTGATGGAAAACACCAGCACATCGAGCCATCCGTTGGAGGAGATCATAACGCCAGTCCAGGCAAGATATGCCGTCGGGAGCTTGACCCCGCCGCTCTGCATCATATGTCTCAGAGCCAGAGGTGCTGTGCACAGGAGGAAAACGAGAGGATACATCAGGAAGAGAACACGCGTTTTGACATCCGTCTCCTGGTCCGTCCGCGTCAATATATGAGGCGAATCCGTGAGACTGGGAGCGGCATCGACAAAAGCTTCCTGCACGACAGCCGCGGCCTTGTCCTTTCGATGTAAGTGAACGAAAACTGCGACGTAAGATATGGTGCCCATTGCGATCAAGAGAACCACCCATATGTAGTGTAGAGTGATACGCAGGATTTCATACTTGATGTTGATCCAACACTACCACCTCAAAGTCAGCAACAGGTCATTAATGGCTCAGCTGCGATTGACGGAAAACGGGTTTGTTTACCCAGGCCCCGTCGCGGATGTAGAAGCCCCCGGCGCCTGCGCCGTTGCTGGTGATGATTACACCCAGGACAGACGCGAGAAGCACGGAAAGCCACAGGAAGATGACGACGCCATAGAAAACCTTGTATGGTATCCTAGTCCCTCTTGCAAGCGTCAGGTAGGTGTGGACCGCAATGGCCGCAACAAAGGCAGTCGAGGCGAAGTTCCCCGTCGAGATGAGCCACCCTTGCACCCAGCATTTTGGAGAGTTGCCGGCGATACCATCCTCCACTAGCCATATGATGCTCAAGAGGAAGGCGCAAGATTGGATCATATCCGCCAGGAGAACGTTGAGTAGAAGGACGAGGAACTGGTTTGGAACACGTCTTTGTTTCTCGCTAGTACGTGCGTGGTATTGAGTACTAAGTTCTTGGGGTAACATGACGACTTCGTCGGTTTGCGTAGATGACTCTAACTGGTTTGGGCATGTCCTCGAAAGCCAGAGTGCTAGTCGGCCGATGAGATAGACAAGAAGCGTGGAAGATGTGACAAAGGAAAGGCCAGAAAAGGCGACCACGGCTTCAAGCCCATGGCGCATGTCGGGAGGGAGTGGAGAAAGAGTATTGTTGTCGCCCTTCATGACTGCAAAGGTACTAAAGGGTATCGCGAGATCGATTTGATGCCATACCTGCCGACTTCGCCCAAGAACCAACATCGATACTGCAAAAGCAGACAAAAGAGAGTTGCTGCATCACAAGGACATGTCTAGCCGGCTTGCTTCCTGTACTTGTACTATCCAGCGGCAGCGCGGCCGATTCGATGTCAGTGCTTCGCAGGGTTAAGTCGTACTTATTCTACGCCTGACGGCCGCACATCTTTGGGCCCATAGATTGACGTTAAGGAAGTGAGGAAGGTTGGGCATTTCGAAGCTTCCTAGTTTCGTGGCAGTGTTTCAATGCTGGTGTTGCTACTCGGCAGGGCTCTCCTGATGGGTGAAAACTTAAACAGTCAACGACTCAGGCTGCAGGAACGATCTATGGGCTGTCATTGGGGGGTCAAATCTGTCATGAATCTGGAGAGTTCGGCGAGCTGGTTTATTTCAGGTGGCTTGGCGTCTTCTGGACTCGGCAATTTGGTATAAGCAAAACAATAAGACCGAGTCAAGGAACCGGGCTAATTAAGTATTTGTTTACAGGTGGAACTGCCAAGAACTCTATGTTTTGACTGTCTAGGTTTGGTTCCAGGCCCGGTTGGAGGCTAATTAGCCCATAGTGTTATTCGCGGGAGGCAAGGAGCATATCGGAGAATAGAGTTCAAGGAGTGGAACTGCTGTCCAGACTCTAGAGTTTCAACCCCCGGATGAAGAGAATAATATCGAGTTCCAAGAGTCATCAGTACCTGTGTGCACGTCTAGCATTGATCCAGTATTTAGATGGAAAAAAACGTAGTGAAAATGGTGTTCTGGGTGAAAATTAATTAGCACGTTTACAGCTTAGAAGCCAAGCGCCGGGTTTACAGTATCTAAACGGTCGTGTCCAGTCGTTAAGGTTCGCAATTGATATTATCATGGAAGAGCTGGCCAGTCGCAAAAGTAATCATCGTACTACAAACCACCCATGTAATTAGACTGGTATAAGGTCAGAAATACACCTACTGGCATACTTTGCGAGCCAGGTAGCGACTCCTACAACAGCTTTTCTTTAGCAAGCCTTTCTACACATCCTTGACGCAACTGGCTCAGTGCTCATCCGATTGCTTATTTATCATTCAACAAGGTAACAGGTATTGCCTCACTCCGATAAGCACTGTCCCAGGCGGGTCTTCCCAATCCATCAAAGCACATTTCTTTAGTCGTTGACACCACAGGAGTTCATCAGCACTACGCACACATCAAATTTAGGTTGGGGACTTTGGGGTTCCCTAGTCATCAGACGCTTCACCTGCTGAACATTGTACACATATCCTCGACTCTTCAATTACTAGTCCCTCGATCGAACACGGACTTACTCTCAGAAGTGAATCATGACGAATCGTCTACACCATACCCACCTAGAAGAACAACTTACAAAAAATGATGGTGCGACCATTAACAGCTATTCAGTAATATCGTTACGAACCTTATTGGAAATAAAGACGACGCCCATATTGCCAATTTCGGTATCGCTGTTAACCCTCTGTAATGAGCACTTTGGGGACTGCTGGGTCTCCAATGTGGAGAGTGGCGCCAGTAGTTGCCCATAACATGACACTCTCACTCAAAGCCGGTAAGACCAGCACCCTAGTCGATCTCTTATTGGTCGTAAGCATCATCCTTGACTGGGGATGATGTGGGGAAGACAAGGTGCCAAAACTAAGCGATGTAGAGAAACCGGCGATAGACGAAAGAAGAACATCTCACGAGCCATGAGTATTAGTAATAATGCCTCCGCCTAGCAGACTTTTCAACGTCAACTGTGTGATCTTGACACCTAGATCCATGTCAATTGTACAAGAATTGTTGAGTAATTATAACTCGCATCTTTCTACGTTCAATTCCTTTAATAAGACAGACAAAGTCAACAAATAATCCTTTTGTAAGACAGGGTTCCACGCCATCTGATCTCGGATTTTGAACGCTTAATTTAGCTTCGCCTCAATTATAAGTGATCGGTCCAAGTGAACAGGATTTCTGTCGCGATGTCTGTCGTGGAGTAAGATAAATCATTGTCTTATTATGGCTTCCGTAGTCCAGCAGCATACTTTGGGGAAGCTTTTTTCATCATCACTCATGACGTCTCGACGAAGTGCCCAAGCTTTTGGCTTAGGCAAAGCTACCAACCTTGCTAGACCCACAAGCCAGCAGAAAACCAAAATAATAGCCTCGGGAAGGCCCAGCTGAGCAACGGAGCCTCGACTGCATGCTTCTTTTGTACGTTGCATGCCCAAGGCTTAACCTGCTGTCAATCTTCTGCAACGTGCCATCGGGAAGGATTTGGAACATGGTAGGACCTGGCAAACTCAATACGAGATGCCATGCTGGCGTTGAGAATCCCATCAAAAGGTAGCTGATTGGCATGTGGCAGGCAGACACCCTACATTCATCAGAGTTTCCGGGACACGTTGAGTTGAAGCGCATCGACCACCTACGTTACACTTGGCCGCCTACTACTACTATGTACGGCAGGAACACTTACTCTGACCCAAGAGCCTCGAACCGGGCACATCGGAGTTGGAACAAAACTCCGACCAACTCCCTTTATGCCTGGATAAGACTTGTCGGACATTCTGCAGTTTAATATCCGTTGAAGGATCACGAGTTATCTTCCACTCCACTTCGACAAGGGCTTTGAGTCATGATGCCCCTCTTTCGACGCAAGGTCAAAACCTACTACTAGTTCTACTAGAAGTATCCGTAGTCAATCAACTTTCCAGTATTCCATCCAAAACCTCGAAGCCTCAGCCTTGCCGAGCCGCTTGCAATGCCACGAGGGTCTCTCATGGCAGCCCCTCCCACTCAACATCATCATCGGTATCTGTGCTTTCGCTGGGATTAGTCCGAGCAGTGATGCACATGGAGTCTATTCTGAGTTGAACAACGTTTGAAATGCCTGCCGGTCATGCTGAGTGGGTAGCTAAGGGACGAATCGGGGTCGCCCGGTGAAGATTGCTCGTGTCCATCAGCCCGTCATGCAGACTTCCTTCCCACAAGCGAACCCCGCCAGAAAGATATCCTGGGCTCTACGCTAACTGCTTCCACTGCAGTTTGACAGGGCAGAAGGACAACTGTCTGTGCGCACTGCTCTAGCGAGCAAGTAATCCGGGAATATCGACCAGTTTGACTGTGTGATCTGCAGGAAGGCGTCTCAAATGGGTCGTTCCACTACTTTCCACAACGCCGGTGCCCGGCTGCCCGGCCACGCTAGGTATCGGCAGTGGAGATATGAGAGTCGAAAACATTTCAAGGTCAGCTTCATGGCCGAATCTCCTATTGTGAACCTATCAGTTGTTTTTCTTCCGCTTTTTCCTTGACCATTGTTCCGTAGCTGCCCAAGCTTCGCAGCCGCAGAGAAAGAAGGCCTAAAGACTGCCTGCAGCAGGACCTACTCGCGTCACGACGTTAGTTAACCAACCGATGGCCACCACTCGAATATCCGCGTTACTCGCTTTGTTTCTCGGGCTGAGTAGCGTAGTACAAGCGGTAGATTTGACGGTCATTCCGTCTTGTGGCGTGAGTGAATCACTAAAGGATCATATACGGAACCAGCTGACGCGTCTAGATCAAATGTCTCTTGCAAGAACTCAATCTCTCTGATTGTGCCAGTACGAACCAAACTTGCCTGTGCGCTGATGATGTTTTCATTAGCCAAGTAGAAATATGCGTTGCTGCGAGCTGTACTGTAAAAGAGTCGCTGAGTAAGGGTTCAACATGATAATACTACCCGTGGATATCACGCTGATCGCTCCTATTTTACAGTTGTAAAAAATCAGACGGAAAGTGGCTGCGGGGTGTCCCCAGAAGAGTCTCTCACCGCCATACGATCTGTGCGAGTGTTCACTCTGGTCTTTCCAACCATTCCTCTTATCTTGCGGATCGTCAGTAAATGGATGAAGATCTCGTCTTGGGGCTGGGATGACACTACGATCATAATTGCATATGTATGGCTCGTCCTATCCATCACCTACAACGTCTAATATTCTGTAGGCTTTTCTTACAGTTTTCACTCCACTGGGCATTATTTGTAAGCTATTCATTTTTCTTCATGGTATTACATTGAAGACTAACGTGTGTCTCTGTAGCTGAAAAGTCTGGCTCTGGAAAAGATATCTGGACTTTGAAACCTGAACAAATAAACGATGACCTTTTGGTGAGTTTTGAGAATGTCTCCAAATTATGGATCAGGATGATAACCAGGGCAAGATATTTTACATCTTGACTATATGCTACATGACTTGCCTAGCGGCTATTAAGGCTTCAATTCTCTTTCTATATCTCCGTATCTTCCCGGATGCAAGGTTTAGAAAGATGCTGTGGTATACTCAACTTGTTAACCTTGTAGCTTTCATCGCGTGTGTTACCACCGCAATCTTCTGCTGCCAACCGATAAACTACTTTTGGACCGGATGGGCAAAAGAAACGGAAGGCAGTTGCATTGACCTGAATTCTTTCTCCGAAGCACACGGCGGATTCAATGTCGTACTGGATATCTGGATCCTGCTATTGCCACTATCACAAATCTATAAACTTAACATGAAACCCAAAAAGAAGTTGGGCCTCATGCTCGTATTCGGCATTGGAGTGTTGTAATTACAATCGGATCACCTTTGAAGTATTTCCAATTGCTGACATTGGGAAGCCTCACGGCAGTTAGCATCTATCGTCTCTACGCGCTCGAGGACTTTGCAAAGTCCTACAATGTTACAGGTTAGCTTCCACTTATATCTGCCATGTCTAATAGCATTCTGACATATTGTTAAACGCTAGCCGGCTCGTTCCAGGCTTCTATCTGGTCTACCATCGAACTCGACGTAGGAATCTTTGTAGCCTGTCTCCCAAGTACCCATGGGGTCTGGAGAAGTCTGTACCCAAGATTCCTCCGAATGGCGCGAATAAAATCGGAAACGGACAGATCGGCGACTAATAACACCAAGAATTCAAGACAAATCCCAACAATCAGCAGCCACAGACGGCGCGTTGTATCGAACGAAGAATCATCGTTATCCGAGTTGGTAGAACAGGATTCGAACAAGATTCCTATGCGCGATCTCATTCAGTCAAGCACTGTTGTCACAGCGCCACCTCAGACTTCCCAAGTGCCAAAGAGTCCTATCAGACAGACAGTGGTGGATCGTATCAGCCAGTTCAGTATGCAGCTGAGATTAGAGACGAACGCGCACGGGGACTGGCAACCGAAGGTATAGCTGTAAACATTGGCTTCTAGAGCATTCAAGAACCCCACGGCCGTTTTCGCTGCGGTCGGACACTTGGTTAAGCTTGAGATGACTGGCGCCTAATATCGGTCGATATCTGCCATGATGATAAGACGAACGGGTAGGAGGAGGGGATATGGGGCAGCATGAATTTTCAAACATGGAACTCGATAGCCAGTTGTGTGTTTCGAGTGTATATGATAAATTCATTCTGGGAGTTATTCTGGTCGTGAAATTTTCCCAGCTTAGTTTGCGTTGCACGAGTGAGCCCGAGTACAGTTAGCGCAATAGGCGCAGGTGTTTGTTGAGACACCTGAGAACCCCTTTGATGTTTGGTTCTCGGGCCGCTGTGGACACTCTCTCATAAGTGGAGATATGAAAGGCCCCCCACCCCTTTGTTATTGTAATTATCATTAGCAACCTTTTCCTTTTCTTCCCCCTAGTGGGCAGCCGATGCATACCGACCGCAGACCGTCTTGTTTGTCGGAAACCCGAGGCTTAAGCCGATGCCGAGGCTTAGCGGGTCGATAATGGCCAAATCCTTGCTAACTTTCACCCTGTCCACAATTCCAAGTCGTCCAGGCATTAGGGGGGGGGGGTTTCATGGTGCATCTGCCCAGAAGGAAAAGGAGTGAGATTCCCGACTGGCATATTTCAAACGATTAAGCTTGGTGTAACACAGATGACTGGAAAGCTTATCAAGGATTATAGTCGGGAAATGTACGGAGTATATCCGTACTATGTATTTAATAGTCGGCTACGGCGGTAGTTCATACCAAAGTACATGCACTGATTGGTCAGTAGATCGGATCCATCTTATCAGATGATCTAATCTGATCACATCACCCGACGCATTAGGCGCCCATCTGGTCTTCGCCTGCTGACACACAGATTACCCCCTCGAGCCAGAGGTGGGATTTTAGGCACCCTCCAACTCGCTGTTCCGAGATGCCGGCCACCAACTCGCTCTTCCGAGATGCCGGCCACCCTGATTCCAACTTTGAATTTTCTCTCTACTTTCTTTCCCTGAATCTCGACCACCAAATCTCTCCCAACACTTGCTCACGACTCTGTATGCCATTCTGAGTATCCGTATTTCCACACCAACCGAACCTCTGCTGACCGAACCCCCTGTGCAGGCGCAGACTGGGTGCATAGCCGAGCGAGAGTGGGAAAAAGAACAACCCTTCATTTCACGGATGATCAATCTTACGGTCGCCAGCTCTAAGTTGACCTTGGGCGTTGAGTGTACGGGCACGGGCACGGGCACGATCGCCACCCAGACGCCGCAGAAGCTTACAAGAGAGCTGTCCCGAGCCCGAATACGCTATCAGATAAACACGCGAACGTAGAAATCGGGACAATGCCGACGTTGGGGACGAAGCTTGGGGCGGCTTCGGCCCCGAACACTGAGACATCGCCACTCCTCGAACCCGAGCCCTCGTGCAATGTAGGAGCACCGAACCGAAACGACCGGGCCACAACATCCCAAGATCCGTTCTCCGGCGTCGCACAGCTCGATGCCGCGGCAGGGAAGCTTAGCAACACGGAGCGCGTTTGGCTCTTTGTCGGGATTTTCCTGGTCGGCTGCGCCTACGGCTTGGACAGTCAGGTCCGATCCGCATTCCAAGCTTACGCTACTTCGAGCCTCAACCTGCATTCGACTCATTCGACCATCAACCTCCTGCGTAGCGTTGTCGCCGTGGCCTCGCAGCCTACCGCCGCCAAAGTTGCTGACATCTACGGCCGGTTCGAAACCATTTCGGCGTCGATTCTCTTCTATGTCATCGGGACGGCCCTGGAGGCCAGCGCAACGTCCGTAGAGTTATTCTGCGTGGGCGCCATCTTATATCAGATCGGGTGGACCTGCATCGTTCTGCTTCTCGAGGTTCTCGTTGCCGACTTTTCGTCCATGCGCTCCCGGGTATTCTTCAGCTACATGCCTGCCATTCCTTTCGTCTTCAACACGTGGATTAGTGGAAATGTAACGGCTGCTGTACTGCGCGTAATGTCGTGGAGATGGGGCATTGGAATGTGGGCCATCATCCTACCCGTATGCTCCATTCCGCTGCTCACGAGCCTATACTCCTTCGGTCGACGATCCCGGAAGTTGGAGGTCCACTCTGAGTCAAAGAGAGCAGCGGTTGACCTCTTTCACCAGCTGGATGCCATCGGTCTTGCCATCCTCATCGCGGCCTTCTCATTCACTCTGGCGCCCCTCACCCTGGCGGGAGGAACCGCTAGCCATTGGAGGTCCCTCGGGATCATCGCCCCCCTTGCTTTTGGTCTGTCATGCATTCCCACCTTCATCTTTTGGGAAAGTCGTTATGCCGAAGCTCCCCTCATACCTTTCCGCCTCCTCAAGGACCGCGGAGTCTGGTCGGCTTTGGCGGTGCGCAGCCTTCTCAACTTTGCGTGGTCGACTCAAGGAAACTATCTATTTACGGTGCTCGTGGTAGCTTTTGATTTCTCCATCGAGACAGCAACCCGCATCTTGTCATTTTTCTCGTTTTTTGGCGTTTTCAGCGGCGTCCTGGTCGGCATTGTCATCTACAGGACCCGCAGACTCAAAGGCATCATCATAGCAGGCGCTTGCATTTTCACGGCATCATTCGGCATCCTTATTCTATACCCTGGGGGCGCCACCTCCGACTCCCAATCAGGCATGATTGCCGCGCAGATAATCATGGGCGTGGCGGGCGGCTTGTTCGCATACCCAACTCAGGCGTCTATCCAGGCATCTGCAGATCGCGAGCACGTCGCTGTTGTCACCAGTCTCTACCTATCAATCTACAATGTCGGTAGTGCCTTGGGGAACTGCTTGTCAGGTGCTCTTTGGACACAACTCCTCTTTCCGACGTTGCAACACAACCTTTCCTTCCAGCCAAACTCGACGTTAGCCCAAGTTGTTTACAACTCACCATTCTCGACCATTGAGCATTATCCTGTTGGCGGAGAAATTCGAGACGCTATCATCGACAGCTACAAAGTTGTTCAGAGGCTTCTGTGCATTGCTGGATTGTGCATATGTATACCGATGATCGGCTTCGCCTTTGCTTTGAGGGACCCGAAATTGTCCGAGGAACGAGTGCAACCGGAGGCATGTATAGATTCGGATGACTGAATGATGGATGGCATTTCAAACGGCCCATAGTGTATACACACTGTTCAGTCAACTTACTGTAAGTAGTGAATAAGGACATATTTGCATATAAGAAGGCTGGCGCAACGGAACAAGTCAGCTTAGTCTGGTGTCTGGACTTGCACGCCTGTAACTGCATGTTTCACTTGATGCCATTCCATTCATAGAACCAAGCACTAGATCGATAGAATTTACCTGGGTGAAAGCGCAGAGGATATCTGGGCCAATAGTTTGCCCATACTGCACGACTGCTTTAGCGAGTTTGATTCCATTAACACACTCCGTGAATTATGTCATATCGATTGGCTTAATGAAACTGGCAAATATGACGATTGGCGCTCCCTCACATGCGACCACCAAACCTCATGAGGACTCTCTGTCTTATCCTTTTCGAAACTCCTTTCATCTTCTCTTAGCAGGGAACGCCGTTACAGCAGGGTCCAACATCAGTGTCCGTACACCAACTACCACCACAGCATGTACCATCGCAGTGGCAGCGGGCTTCAATCTATTGCTCCATTAGTCCTGGTCAAGGGCGCAAGCCTTGCCTGAGCATATCGGTTTGCGACTTTGCTTACAGGGCCTCTGATAGTGTCAGGATGCGCGTTGACACTGACAGCGTTAACACTGGCAAAGCCGGTAGCCAACACGTAAAAAATGGTCGTAACTTTCATGTTGATGCTTTGTGCGGTCCAGTGGATTTCGAGTTAACGGAAGACTTTAATGTAGTTGTTTTGAGTAATTACACAAGACTCCTATTCTTATCAACAAGCTACTTGAAGCTATGGCCTTATTTACTCAAACAAGACTTGGCATCTGATAAAAAAGCTCTACGTATCTTCGTGCTGTATGTTGGTCTTCCTTTGGACTGACACGCAGACCTTCCATTTCAGTGCAAGCAGTTTCAAAAGTCCATCCTCCGCTCCTACGCCAGAACTAAATTGGCAGGAATAAAGTGTATTAGTTGATCCTCCGTGAGCACTACTACAGTACGCACTGGAGTACAGGGGTTTCAATAGTCTTGGCTTATCAGCAACCACTGTATTAGGTTAAGATGCCGAAGGTGCTAATCTGATAGATGATCAACTGGCCTTGCCGTACTCAAGTCGGGGCAGCTGCAAACGATTGCAATGGTTGTCTTATTCAAAAAAGGCAAATTGCAAACCCCTGACGCTAAAAGATATGTGAATCGGCACAATTGACGCCACGCAGGATCAGATGAAGTCTGTTAACCTTCTTTTTTTGAAACTATTGACAAGTTCTTCAGCCGAAGCATTCCTCGATAGTGGCTTTGGGCCGAGACGTCAAGTAGAGGTATCCGTAGCTTTTGTTGCTCAACGCCAACGCCCGCGCCCGCGCCCACAGAGTCCTCCCACCAACCCCGCAAACCCTCTCATGCCAAATGAAGGATTCCAGATGAGCCACAGTTTGGGGCCAATCCTCCAACCCAAGCAGGGCAGCAAATTTGTTGACACTGCTGGCGAAAGAGTCATAGGCAACGGTGCGAGCCGCTGCGATGCCGCCAATCACAGCTGCCCAAAGCAAGAGGCCTGCATCTTCATTCGTGGTTTGTTGCGGATCGGAAAGAATGCCCTCAAGTTGGCGGCACAGCTTCCACAGGATGCGCGGATCTGGAAAAGGGTACAAAACAGTATAATTGAAGACCAGCGCAGCCAGACGGCAAATCTCTGCCACCCCGGGTGGCAGCGACAAGAGCCGGTAGAGAATCAGGTTCCGAAACTGAACGAATCCGGTCGCTTCCGGGGATAGGGGATGTACGGGCCCAAAAAAGGCGTCGATAAGCCGGCAGCAGGCTTTAATGTCAAGGAGAATGGCCTTGAAGTGTGCATCAACATGGAAGGCATCCACCTCACTCGCGTCAGGTCGGGCGGCAGCTGCTTCTTCTTCCTGTAAGCAGTAGGCTTCCTGCATCTCCAAGTCGGGCCTTTGTAACAGCGCGCTAGCTCTCAATAGATCGCTGGACTGTAAGCCATCAGCAAGTCCGGGCGCCTTATTGCTCAGCGAGGGATTCCTGGCCCTCAAAAGATGCATCCACATAGTTTGAAGGCTGGGCTCATAGCTCATCAGGCCGAGCCAGAGTAGTCCACCGAGAGATTTGACCGGGGTATCGAAGTCACCAGCATAGCGATCTTCCGGTGCTAATGATAGGAGGTATGGATTTTGATCGAGAGATATGGTTATGAGGGAGAATACAACAATATCAGAGACTGTGGTGATACCGGCCGAGAGTTGCTGACGAACGGTGCGGGCGATCTGATTCTGAGCTTTGAAGCAGGCTCGGTTATCCTCGATGGAATTCGTGAGGAAACGGAGACGATATGATCCTCCGGCTACAAGGGCAAGGAAAGTCTGTCGATCTGACATGGCACTACGATAAAGTGCGGCATAAAGAGGCTCCTTGGCGGCCGTTTGGATACCTGAAGAAGGTAACAGTTCGGTGATGGCTAGAATACACTGATCAACAGCCTCCTTTTCTTAGCTGATTACGTAAACCTACTGTATTGGAAGGCTCTAAGAGTATGGGCATCCATCAGATCGGGGTGTGCTGCAAACAAGGCACTGATCACTCTCGGAGATGACTTTTGCGCGGAAAGTACCTGCTGACTTTCCACTTGATGGGTATGGTGACATACGGCAGTTTCACCTTCTTCCACCCGGGGAATCTCGGCATTTTGCCGAGCCGTGGGTTTTGGCTGGTCGGTATGGCGTGGTTGGACTCCTGTCGGCTTTGGCAGAATTGGTATGGGTCCTGCTGCGGTCTTAACGCGACGAGCCGCGAGAGCCTGTCTAGTGGCTTCCCGCTGTGCAGCTTTTCTTTTTCCTGCAAGACATGCGATAGTCTCATAGTTCAACCAAACAGGAACAGATGTGGCTGACTTACGGCTCAGTCTCTGGTTTTCGCGGTTTTGGAGCTGCCTACGGAGCTTGGGGTCTGTGACGTCCTGCCACGTCTGCCCAGTCGATGAACGATCAAGCGGCATCCTGGCAGCATCAACCGGTATCGGTAATACGGACGACCTCAAGGTCATCCTCCGCAAGTCTAGTTAAATGTGCCCCTGTTGTAGTGTGCATCCGCGTGGCGCAATGTTGAGGGGTCAGCTAAGATTGTGCGGTGTTCAAAGGTGCTCGCTTATTTATTGGCCTCAGAAAGGCCCTTGTTTATCTCACCTACCTATCTCATCCATTGCAGGGGGTGTTCCAAGCATTGAAGGTAGATTTGACCCGGCTGACAACTTAGGGACCAATTGGGTGTTTAGATGCAGCCAATCATTTCAGTTAGGTACGTACGGAGTACTCTCATAACGACGGATTATCATCCCTGCTTGCTAAGGGAAAGTGCCCCACGACAAGCATGACATAGAAAGATGGGCTTGTCGGTACCTACTAAAATGATAGTACTGGCATCGCTTACCCTTACCAAGGAGGGAATGCAATGTGTCAAAACTCATGATAATATACAGCATCACCAGCATAATACACCCAGAAACGAGCCAAGTACTGCTTTTTACTAGAACCCTGCTGATGGCGCCTTGACTGTGACTACATGTAGGAAGGTCAGGCGATGATCTTCATCGACCTTGTAAGACAAGTAGCAAAGTTCTGCATGAATGCATGTAAAAGAAATAAAGCTGTACTAGGCTGTTTTTCCGGTGGAGGCCAAGTTGAGCAAGTGCAGAAGTCTACGGACCTAGTAAATCAGCTCTCTAAATCAACCCTCGAAGCCTAGATCATCGTGCTTGCAAGGAATAATTTAAAGAATAAACCAAAGCAGTCCTGACTCTAAATCAAATAGAATTATAATGTTGTGATTTCTTAGTTCAGTGTTTTAAGTGCTTATGTATGTAATCTTAATGATCAGTATTGCTGTTGTGTAGTGAGAAATCGCAGAACTTTACAACCTACGGAAACAGTCAGTGCGTACGTCTTATTAAGAGAGGCCTACTTGCCGGCGGCTATCATCTCATGTATGATGTGATCAAGTCACGAATACATGTTTCATATTGCATATACTATCTTAATTAAACAGAAAAACAGGTGATCGATTCGACACTAAGATATGTGACGCGGCACCATGATAGTATCGATGCTGACATGGTCACCAACGTGCTCACGAAAGCCATGAGAGGATGTAATGGTGAAGAGGCTCAGCGGAAGTGGAAAGCAGACTCGTCTCGAAGCCGCAGGAACCCTTTCCAGTCTGTGGCTGAGCAGTTGAGCAGCGACTAAGGAACGGATATAAGGTGGTCCCTCTTAAGGTTGCACAGATACACAATGATACCAAAACAGCCAAAGAACACAGTTTATTAAGTATCGCTCCCAATCCTCAACGCAGCAATTAGAAGACTTCTGAAATTACTTCGTAGTTGCTGCAACGCTTCACTATTGATAGTCCGTCATAGCATGTAATATATCTACCGAAACAAGGTACGTTAGAGTACCGTAGCGGATGAGGCTTGACATGGGGTTACGTTAACAAATCAAGAAGCCAGTTCCTGGTTTGGCGCTGCATGGGCCGGGGGGGGGGCGGGATTTTGGCAAGATATTAAGGTTTTCCCCGCACAAACCTCCAGTTTGAGATCTTTTGGTAGGGATACAATGGAGACTCTCACTTTCGGCGGTGCTATTACTCCGCACTTTGAGGCAGTTGAAGACAAGAAGTCGATGGCATGATACATAGCAAGCCTCAATTCAGCCTTTCCAAGCTCAATTCTGTTCTAATATCGTCATGTCATTCGGCATTTAGATCCCTTTGAGGGGGGGGAAGAAATCATAGTTCCTTTTAGACATTATTTTCCCTAGTTCCCATAAGCAAGTTGAGAAGTAAGCTTTTGAGTCTCGTCCCCACCCGCCAGTGAGAGAAGATCCAACGTAGGCTTATGGCGTAGCTTTATGTGATGAGTAGCTTTGGGCAACTTCCCCGAAAGCACAGCCGGGACCTGTTTTTCGTTATCGCGTCGAGCGAACCTATGAAAGGATCTCATGCACCAAGTTCCGACGGAACATAGCTTCGAGTCTACAGGCACTCCCTTGCTGCCAGTCCATGCTATGACCTGGGGGTGACATTAGTGTAAAGTGGTCTGTCTCCAGTTTCGAGGAGATGAACGAAATATGACCATTAGTTTGCTTCTAATCCCCGCCTCTGCATCACTCGGAGACTAGTTCCACCTCTCGTCTGTAGTGTCAACGAGAGAGACGGTGATACTCTCGCCTACCACAAATCTAATACTTCCGGGAGCAAAAGCAAGAATGTCTGTCACTTGGTTTCTTAGGCCAAGGAATAAATACAAGCGTTTCGATGGGACAAGGGATGTCGTAATGAGTCATTTAGAGTTGCGGTTTGTGGCATTGAACGTTAACCGCCCCCAGAGGTGGCCAGGCGATAAAAGGCAGCATCCTCTACCCCGACGTTTGATTCTTGATTGCAGCGTCCCGCTTTGGCCATCTATTAATCAATATTCCCTAAACACAATGGTCATTTGACCTTCTTGGTTTCTTTGCATCTTTGACCATTTCCTTAACTCAGCCGCTGGTAGGGTTAAAAATATCCATGGATATCCATATGGATTTCCCTATAACACAGTCCATGGATCTAGTGGATATATCCATATGGTTAATAGATCCTATGGATATGGATTTTGTAAGTAAGTGTAATCTATAGGTGAAATAGTTAAATCTAAATAGATATTTTTTAATTATAGGTCTAGATATTACAGTTATAGAGTAGATTTTAGGATAGATATTATAGATATTTAAATTATAAGCCTCTAAATCTATATACCACCTAGCTTTAGGCCTTTTAGTAAGTACACTTTAAAATATATAATTTACTTTATATAGCTATTACTAAGATTAATAATATTAATTATAATTAATATATAGATTATTATAAAGACTTAAAGGTAGCTATTACTAAGATTAATAATATTAATTTACTTTATATAGCTATTATAAAGATTAATAATATTAATTTACTTTATATAGCTATTATAAAGATTAATAATATTAATTTACTTTATATAGCTATTATAAAGATTAATAATATTAATTTACTTTATATAGTTATTATAAAGATTAATAATATTAATTTACTTTATATAGCTATTATAAAGATTAATAATATTAATTATAATTAATATATAGATTATTATAAAGACTTAAAGATAATTTAGAAACTATTTCTATAAGATATATATTATTTACCTTTTTTAGCGCTTTAATAGTAATCCTTATTTACTACTATCTATATTAGACTTATCTTAAAGATAAGAAAGACCCTTAAACTAAGAGCTATAACTTTAGGTAATTATAAAAAAAGAGCTTAATAAGGCTTAAGAACTAAGTAATAATAGCTTTAATACTAGTGTTAGTAAACTAGGCTTTAAGAAGTAAACTCCTAAAGTACTAGTATTTAACCTCTTTTAGATCCCTTTAACTATAATATTTATAATTTAAGCTTAATTTATGCTATTTACTAAAATATATATAACTCTATAAGGTTTATAAGGGCCTTATAGCTAAATCCTTAAAGAATAGTTTAGCTACGCTCCTTTATAACCTCAGTAAGCTAATACTTTTTAGGTATTAATAGCTTAAGGACACTAAAAAATAGCTACTACCTTTAGTGCTATATAATTATAAGGATAAGCTATACCTTAATAGTTTTTACTACTATATTAAAGGATAAATAGTAATAGATATATTAACTATAGCTAAATATTTACTTTAGTAGTACTAAAGTTAGTATTATATAGAGAAAGTTATAAGCTATTTAGTAAAAGCTAGTATACTTTAGAAATTATTCTATATAGCGCTAGAAACTAAAAAAGGTCTTAGTTAAACGTTTACCTAGTAGTATTAGTAAGGTAATAATAAAGAAGATTTCTACTTATATTTTTTAAAGAAACTCCTAATTACTTTAGAGGCACTATAATACACTATAGAAAACTAAATATAATTAGTATAAATATTATTATAAGGATTAATATAGAGATTAATATAGTAATTATTATAAAGATTATTATAAATATAATATTTATAAGAGGTAAAAGCGTTAGTTTATATACTTACTTCTATAGGCTTTTAAAAGTCTAGGTAGTAATACTATAAATTAATTAGCTTATTACTAAGGAAAAAGAAGCTAAACTCTAAGGAATATTTATATAGTAAGTCTTTATATAGGCTTATTTAAAGCTTTTAGTAATAGCTTTTTACCTAAGGCCTTAGTAATAGTTAAGACTTATAAACTAGGTATTATAGCTTTCTTTTTATTTTTTATTAAGGGGGGATAGTAAGAGACTAATAGTATAAATAGCCTTATCTTCCTCTTATAAAGCTTTATACTTTTTAAGCTTTTTTATAGTAAG